TGAGCCTCTACAGGAGGATGGAGACTATTATAACCCAGGGAAAGTAATCATCTTTCAGGTTTGTGCCTAATTGGTGAATCGAAGCAAGAAAGCCTTTATATTTCCACTGAACAAGCAAAATTAAAATGCTTCCCACTGTAACCATGTGTATTAGTTTCTTTCTGCAGCAGTAACAAATTACCATAAACTTGGCCTAAAACAACAAAAAAAATTATCACCTTACCATACTGAAGGTCAGAAGTCCAAAACAGTCTCACTGGGCACAACAGACTGAATGTGCCCTCCCTCACCAAATTCATACGTTGAATTAAACCTAGTATGTTGATATTTGGAGGTGGGGCCTCTGAGAGGTATTTAAGGCACAAGCGGTGAACCTTCATGAATGGGATTAGTGCCCTTACAAAAAGGGATCAGAAGAGCTAGCTAGGTCTCTTTTTGCTACAAGTTACAAGGAGAATTGGATTGTCTACAACATGGAAGAGGGCTCTCACCCAATCATGCTGGCACTCTCATCTCAGGTTTCCAGACTCCGTACTATGAGAAATCAACAGTTCTTGTTAACGTCATCTAGGCCATGCTGATTTGTTAGCACAACCTAAACTAAGATGCTGGGCTGTTTCTTCTGGAGGCTCCAAGGGCAGAATCCATTTCTGTGCTCTTTCCAGCTTCTAGTGGCTGCCTGCATTGTCTGGATCAAGGCCCCCCTGATCAGTAATCACATGATTTTGACCTCTGCCTCCATTGTTATATTTCCTACTCTCTGACTCTCCTGCCTCTGTCATGTCTAAGGAGGCTGCTAATTACATGATCCTACCTGGATAATTTAGGATGATGTCCCTGTACAAGATCCTTAATCATGAGCGCAAAGTCATTTTTGCCATGTGAGGTGATATTTACAGGTGCCAGGGATTAAGATGCTAAGCCAAGAGACAGGTGGGACCCATTCAAAGCAAAGACACACAAAGCTGAGCTGCCAAGCCACACACCATATGCATAGAATGAGAAGGTGTTCCTGCTGGGTTAGCAACAAAATTGAAGACAGGCAGTCCTAGAATGTACTGGAGAGAACCAACTTCCCTGGAAGTTCTGCTGTTCTAGACCAATGTTCTAGACCAATTCTCGTACATACGAGAATTTTAAATATTTACAGTTAGTAAGTGGCAGGGTCCTTCAATAAATCTGGGTCTTTCTAACTGGTATGTGTGTTCTTGTAATCCCTCTCATCTACCTTAAATTGACGCTGGGAATTTTCTGTTAAGTTGAACCAAGGTCCTGAAAGAGCTACGTCCCTTGCACAGGCCAGTGTGGATCAAGAAAGAACAGGATGACACAGGCCAAAGCAGAGCAGATAGGCTATATGCCCAGGTTAATTGGTCTCCCGTGTATCGTTAAAAATGGAACGGGGAGTGTGTGAACCCCACTGTGTATCCTTAAAGGACTGTTTTATAAAACTAAGCCTGAATTGATGCAGACAGCATCGTCTTAATTCAGTCCCTGTAAGTGTATCTTCATGAAGAAATGCTTTTACTTCCTAGGGGTTCTTTTATAGACCCTACCTGAAAAGTGAAGTTAAGAAACTATGGTGCTCAGAGTCTTCCAAACCAAGTCAGATGTACTCTGTGGAGAGAAGTTTGCTTTGCAAATGTTTGCTTCTGCCTAGCTGTGACCTGGTACACATAGGTATCACCTGAACCAATACATTTGTTACATGAATTCCCTAGGACTTGGTTTTATGAAATGTATAGTTCAGTAAAACTTGTTTCATTTAATATTCCAGGCAGCAAATTTCCTTTCCCCAGAATTCCTGAGACTATGTAAAAAACAGAGAGAGCTCTAGCACAGGGCCTGCGCTTATTAGCCATTCTTTAAATTGCTGTTGAACAACCATACAAAAGCATAAATACACAAAGCCTTAAATCAACTCTCTTGCCACAGGTCAATCTGAGAAGTCAGCTACGATTTAACCTCTCTCAGCAAACCTTAAGTATATAAAGTGGGAAAGATAATTCCTTAGTATCCTAAGTCTGCAAAACCTTTCCATCTTACATGCATGCAAATCAGGGTACTGTGTGGTTGAAGGTCTTGGACACACAAAGACTTCGGTTTGAATTCTGGTGCTAATACTGCTAATTATGTGACCTTGAGGAAGTGGCTTAACCTTTTCAGCTTCCATTTCTTCATCTCTGACAGCAGGATAATAGTATTTAGCTTGCAAAGTTGTTTTGAGCAGGTAATGACAACATATGGAAAATGTTCAACAGCTTCTGGTGCACTGATGACAAAGATGGTGATGGATGATAGTGATGATGACACGTCTAGATCCAGCCTCTTGGTTACCCTGTTCCTCAAGGACAGACAAGTTCCCTGCTACGTGAGGTCCATGTGTCCCAGGAACATGCCTCCCAGTCCACCCCCAGCCAGAGCCTAGGCATGGACCCAAAGCATGATCCACTGCCTAGGGGAGGGAGGAAGGGAGTTTAGGGCTTCTCACGGATATGAGACACCTCTTCTTAATCCTCTTTCTTCCCTTTTACCCCTAGCTCCTTCTCCTACTTTCTCTTTTTATTGTCTCAAGAGTTGACCTAAAAGGTTCCTCTTAGTGCCCCCAAGTCTTTTCTATGTAGATCTTATTTATGTTCAAGATTGTTGCAAAGCATTCCCTACTAAAAGTAAACCTTTTGGTGTAGAAGATTAAAGCAATACAGAAAACCCAATTTAATGGACAGTAACTCAGGCAAATTCACAGAAATCATTATTTTTAAAGACAAATTTTTTCACTGTGTCCTGTGCCACTCTAACATATGGTTATTATTTAAATGTTTACCTTAAGTAACTAAGGGCTATGTGGGGCTGCTCCTACTAACCTAGAAGACAGAGAAATATGAATTTTGGTTCATTGACAATGTCCCTAGAAACAAAGTTGTGCCTCGGGTGGTTGCCCTTCTGGAGTGAAAAGCCTGCCAGAGCTTTTCTGTGGAAAATCTTTAGTTCTGTCTCAATACCCAAAAGAAGTGAAGCAGTAATGGAATCACGTTTCTACCTATATACATGCTTCGGTTCTCCAGTATGCTTTGATGTAATGGTTACCTAAAGGAAGGGTAAATTTTTATGACATTATTCTCACAGCTTCCTACAATTAAAAATATATGTAAGGCAATCAGACAATACACTTCAACATGAAAAGACAAAGGAATATTTACAAACCACTTCCACTTTATCTTTGTTCACTAGAAAAAACTAAATTCAGGAAACAAAATGGGATTTTTCATGTGATTCACAAAGCTGGTGTTCTTACCAAATAAAAAACATGACTGAAGGGCTTTCTCCTTCTAACTGTAATTTATTTTCTTCTAAAACCTGCACTGCAAACACTATCACAAATGCCAACCCTTAGGAATAAAGGTAGGAGAAAAAAAAGTTTTGGTCTTAAAATAAACCCTAGAAAACTTTGAATAAATATCAATACCAACTGCTAATTCTTTTGGCAATGATACAGGCCATTGTTTGAAATTCTCTGGCTTTTCATATTTTTTTTTCCTTTGTAAAGTTGAAAAAAAGGAGAGAGATAAGGTCTATATAATTTTAGCAAGACATTCAATCTTTCCAGGCACGGTCTGACATACTAGATAAGATCAGGAAACAGTAGTCTTCTCTGCTAGGAAAAACGTTCTTTCAAAAATATGAATGTAATGCAAGATAGCTTCGATAGCCTTCAATTTAATCTTTCAATATGGATTTACAGTTCTGCAGTATTGACTTATGGCCTATGCAGGAAAGAATTCTGCAATTCCTGAAGATGTCCACTTCCCTTTCTTTGAAGTATGCCTTAATGACTGCTTGCCTTTAGAAAGCTATTCCTTTCTATGGAAAGCTAACCAACACACCCAATTTTTTATTCCTGCTTTGTGAAATCCTCCTGTGAAACAAAACAGATTATGAAACTAGCTCAGGAAAAAAAAATCACAAGTTACCACCATGAATAGCATTCCATTTGCCTGTCTCTTCTCATCCTAGCACATTCCTGTGACCAGGACAGAAAAACCCCACTCAGACAATCGTGTGCCTCACTGAACAGACCCCAGATGACCCACTGGAGGCTGGGAGAACTGAGAAGGAAGAGGAGGAAATCTTTATTCCAACAGGAATTGAATTGCATGAAAAATAAAAGTCAAACAGGATTTTTAAGGTAAGCATATTTTGTACAATAAGACTGTGTCTGAGGTTAAGATCTTTCTTAGACTAAAACAGAAGTCACTAATGAGTATCCTTTCATACCCCAAACCACTACCTCCAAAAGTCTTTCCTCGTTTATCATCCAAGAAATTGCTTTTCAGCCTTATAACCATATAGAATCCATACTAACCAATGTAGTGAGTTTCTTAGTAACTCTACCATCCAACCAGCCAGAAAGATTTAAACCTTCATGAACAGTTGAAACCAAAAGCTTGGCTGCCTTTATTACTCTTACTCCCTCAACCTCAAGAATGAAAGCCCCTACTTATTTGTTTTATAATTACTCATCCAACTTCTAAAACTTAGATAAGGACCTTTTTATACTGTATTTTTTCTTTGTAACCATTAACTTTCACAAAAGGCACAAAGTAAATACCTGTGGCTTCAAAAGACTAACCACACACGCGCGCACACACACACACACACACACGTCACTTGCCTCCTAACACATCACATGGCGTATTCAGTTCTCCTAACTGCATAAATGAAAAGTACTCTCCAGGATATGGTTCCAAAAATGTAAACCAGCAAAGTCTACTGCAAAGAAAAGCACACACAAAGAGGTTGTGAATCCTGCAACTCTACAGACTTTTGGCAGAAGAAAAGGAAAATGCAAAAAAAACCATTAGCAAGGGAAAACATGTTTAAGGTTTTTAAAACCATTTTTAGTTACAGAGAAACTGCCTACCTCAAACCACATCAGGAAAGGCCAGAGAGAGTGTGAAATTTATAACCAGAAAGACTTAATATGAAGTCATTGTACTCACTGTCTGATGGCTTCTGTCACAGTAACGCAGCCCAAAATAATCTATCTCCACAAGGTTTATGTGTCGGAATACGTGGTCAAGGACAACAGAACCTTTCGTCGACTT